GTGGAGTATGGAGGTGGAGGTTGTGAGTGAGTCCTGCCAGCTGGCCCTGAAGTGGTCCCTGGGTTTCCTCAAACTGGTGCGGGACCACAGTCTGGCTCTTCCCTGAAATCCCACCACGGTTCTAGCTACTGAGTGCCTTTCTTACTTCTGGGTCCTTTTCTGATGCTGTCCCTTGCCCTTTGCATGATTGGTTCCTGTTCCTCCTCTGGGTTACCTCCTTAGACAGATCCTCCCTGACCAACTAGTCTATCATAAATCCTATTATTATATTTCTAGTGCCTGCATACTTTTTTTTCCAGCATGCATCACAGACTAATTGAATGTGCATGTATAGCATATTATCTGACTCTTGGACTGAAAGATGCACAGGGCCAAGACTATACCTTCTTTGTTCACTATCACGCTAGCCTATCCAATACGCAGTGCACATGCACGCGCGTGCATACACACACACACACACACATTGTTGATAAGTGACTTATTTACATACTTTTAATAATTTCCTCTATATTTCACTCATTCTGTATCTATTGATTGAGCATCTACTATGAGTCAAGCCCTGTTGCTGATGCTGGGAATGTAGCAATGAATAAAACAAGCAAAAATCTCTGCCCATAGGCTGCTTTTTTGCTGGTGAATCTGGGCATTTTATATATGTATGTCCCCTGTGATACCTTTTTTTAGTTCACTTTTTTGCTCAGTACCCACTTGACCGATGGGAGCTAGGAACTGGTGGATAAATGCTCCCTCCTTCCATCTTGCATTCTTTTTTTTTTTAAAAGATTCATTTATTTATTTTAGAGAGAGCACAGCGGGGAGGGGCAGAGGGAGAGGGAGAGAAAACCTGAAGCCGACTCCGTGATAAGCGCAGAACCTGAGGCAGGGCTTGATCTCACAACCCTGAGATCAGGACCTGAGTTCAAACCAAGAGTCAGATGCTTAACCGAGTGCGCCTCCCCCCACCCCCCGCCGGTGCCCCCCCCATCTTGCATTCTAGGCAATTCCTCAGAGGGTGCCAGTAGGACTGAGCCCTACTTGCTCACAGAGACCATCTAGATTAAGCACCCTTGGATGGGTTTTCTCTCCCTCCCTGTTTCATTCTTTCTGGTCCTGATTCCTTTTCCTACCCCTGTTCCATGGGATCACGTCCCAAAAGAAAGCACTTGCCCTCAAGTCCTTCTCTAACACTGCTTTTGAGGAGAACCCAAGCCAACGAGTTAGCAGTTTAATTCTTTTGTCAGGTCATTTTCTACATTTCCATCTTGGGTCCCAGGCTGCATTTTGGATTTCTAAAGGGCAGGCATCAGATATTCTTTTTTTTTTTGTATTTTCCCATAGGTACTTATTCAGTGCCTGGCAAGTATCAGTGAACATATGCTGATTTTGATTTGACTTGACAGAAGGAAAGACTACAGTGGCTATCTGTCCCCCAAGGGAGGCCAGAGTCACTTCTGGTGTAGAAACCTGTCCCTGATGCTGGATAAGGCTGGGACCTGCCAGGGCAATTAGTGCTTTCTCTACCATACACCCATCCAGCTTCCCTTGCAGGTCCCTGCACCCTCCAGAAGCAGCAGGTCACCAGCTGCTGAAGTAGCTCAGGGCGCACAGTTGGGGGCTCACTCAAGGGGCCCTGCCTGCCACCTGCTCTCTCCAAGCTGGGAGTAGCAGAGGGAAACCAGTCCCTCCTCCTTGGGGGTGGGATGCACATGTCTGTCATCTGCTGCTGGAAGCAGGATGTCAGGACCCTGTGCCCACAGGACCACAGTCAGGGAGTCAACATGGATGAATGGATGACTTCAAAATTTGGCACCAACCTCGACTGAACCTCATGGACATAGAGAGTGATAGGCAGCTGGTAAAGGTGCAAAGAGCATTGGACATATTCTGCAGACAAGAGTTGTAGTTATGGGTCTACCACTAATGTGATGCTCCTTCGGTCATGTACCACTTTTCTGCCCGCAGTTTCCTGAAAATGAGAAGGTTGGACTAGATGATGTCAAAGATCCCCCAGCTCTAGGATTCTTAAATTACAGAATTGGAAGGAACCTGATCTGTCAGTTATACTTCAAATGGTCCTTTATTTATTTACTTTTTACTTAAAAAAACATGTTGCTAACAGCCCCATGTCTACTCTAAACCCACAAGGAGATAGCACCAATGCATTTGCTCTTACATATTCCCAAATAGCCGTGCTTACCTACATGCCAACCTGGCATATACTTGATCACTTTTTTGGTAATTGAAAATTTTTTTAAAGATTTTTTTTTTTTATTTTTAAGTAATCTCCACACCCAGTGTGGGGCTTGAATTCACAACCCCGAGATCAAGACTCACATTCTCTAGCAACCGAGGCATCCAGGCGTCCTTGTAATTGAAATTTTTATTGAGATAATTGTAGATTCACATTTAATTACAAGAAATAATACATTTTGCAGTTTCCCCAATGATCACATTTTGCAAAACCTTAATACATTATTACAACTAGAATATTAACATTGATACAATCCACCTTATTCAGATTTCCCCAGTCTTACTTGTACTTATTTAAGTGCATTTCAGTTCCATATAAATTCGATCACCTGTTCTAAAACCACAAGTTCTAAAACCAGAAGGATCTCTTGTGTCGCCCTTTTACAAACACACCTTGCCTTCCTCCCATCCAACCTCATCCCCTACTTGGTTTCTCAAAAGTGTTTTTATTCAGAAATAATTTCAAATGTGCAGAAATGTTTTAGTACACCCTGTACCCAGATTCACTGATTGTTAATATTTTGCCCATTTACTTTATCGTTTTTCCTATCAACATTTTTTTTTCTGAGTCACTTGAAGTTACGCAAATCATGCCTGCACAATACTTCAGTGGGTATTTCTAAGAATAGGGATACTCTTCCACATGACCATGGTACACGTATCAACAGCAGCAAATTTAACATTGATCCAAACTTTACTATCAGGATTCCAACTTTGTCCACTGATATATCTTTACTAGCATTTCGCCTCCTCCAGTACAGGATCCAGTCTTGGACAAGTTATCACATTAAGTTGTCACGACTTTTTAGCAGCCTTTAATTTGGAATATTTAGCCTTCTTTTGTCTTTTTTATTTATTTATTTATTTATTGTCTTTTTTTTTAAGTAGGCTCCATGCCCAGCGTGGAACCCACGGTGGGGTTTGAACTCAACTCCCGGTGATCAAGACCTGAGCCAAAATCAAGAGTCAGACACTTAATTGACTGAGCCACCCAGATGCCCCTCTTTTGTCTTTAATGACGTTGACATGTTTGAAGAATACAGCCCCTGCCCCTTTTTACTAGATATTCCTCATTTTGGGTTTGCCTGAGGTTTCATCATCGTCAGATTCAGGTTATGCGGTCTCCCTGGAATACTGCGTAGGTGATACCTTCTGAGGACATGGTATCCGTCTACTTTCATTGGTGATGTTAATTTTGATCACCTAGTCAAGGTGTTGTCCGCCCACTCCTTTGTAAATATTTCCCCCTTTCTATTAATGAGCCTTTCTATTAATGAGAGATACATTAAGCCAAGCAAATATCTGCTCTCCAATGAAATCCGCTCTAGTGTTAGCATCCGGTGATGATTCTTGCCTGAACGAATCTTTACGGTACACTACCAGTCCTCTTCCAGTACTTGAAACCAGGTTTTCTATGGCTCAGCTTTCTTAGGTCTTTGGTTCTGGTCAGAGTCCTCTCCGTGTCTTCCCACTGTCCTCTACGATCTCTGGGCCAAGACAGGGGGAAGTAGTACACTCAGCAGCCCCAACTGGAAATGAGCTAATTGGGTTGTTCCGCGTTAAACTGTCCACCAGTGATTTGCATAATACAGTGGCCTGGGAGCACTTACTTCCTGGATCCTTTTCTGATTCCCCTCCCCCTTGCCCCCCCCCATTCTCGGCCGTGGCATTTTGTTCAGACTGTCCATACATCTCCTCCACCGCCACCCCCCCAGCACCGGGCTCTGCCCTCCGCTGCTTAAGCCTCAGGGCTGCTTTCCTAGGAGACTGCCCAACCTGCGGGAACGCAACGCCTGGACTTCCACTGCTTTAGTGGCAAACAGTGCACGTGTGAGTCCCATGCTCCCCCTGGACTGACCCTAGACGGACGCCGAGAAGCGCTAGAAGTAAATGAGCGCGCGGGGAGCGGTGTGATAGGTTTTCCCCACCCAGGTATTCCGCTGGGTACTTTCCAGAGCCCCGCGGCGCGGGTAAAAGTAGGGCAGGCCAAGGGCCGCGACAGCAGGGCAGAGAGGCGCGGCTCCCCGCGCCCCGGGCGCGCTCCGCGGTGCGAGCATCCTGGAGGGCGGCCCGCAGGTGGCGGCGCAGGCCGGCGGACGGGCGGGGCGGTGGAAGGGGAGGGCTCGGCGCGCGTCGGGCGG